CTATTTTTTTTTTACATACTGTCACCAGTGCAGTACAGCGTCATCATATAACTGGCATGGCAGGTGAACAGCGACACTGACTGGTGACAGTATGAAAAAAAAATATATATATATATATATATTTTTTTTTTTTTATTATATTTAATTTTTTATTACATTTTTTTTATTTTTTTTAAGATTCTTTTTTCATATTTTACTATGACCAAAATAGTACAATGTTACCATAGTAACACTGTACTACTTTGGGGAAGTGATCAGTATTTTTTTTTTTTTTTTTTTACACAATTTGCTTATAGCAAAGAATTACTTTGCTATAAGCAAGCATTTACCTGAATGAAATCAATTCATTCAGCTTTTTTTTTTTTTTTTTTTTTTTTTTGTGCTTAGCTGTGATTTGGTCACAGCTAATCACATGACATGTGCATGTGATTAGCTGTGACCATTCACAGCTAGGCACTAGTATACAATGGATGGCATCATGAATGAAGCCATCCATTGTATACAACTGTCATGTGACCTGCTGTGATTGGTCACAGCAGGTCACATGGTACCGGCAACGGGAGCCGGTACTCGGATCTGTCATCGGCCGTGTCCGAGGTGCACGGGCGGTGACAGAACGCACTGCTGCGTCGCTCTGCAACCGCGCAAACCGCGCATGTGCGGGAGCACGCCAAATGGCGTGCACCCGGAATACAGGAGCACATTTCAAGCCGCCAAACGGCCATTGGCCGGGCGGCTAATGGTTAAAGAATGAAAAAAAATAGATGTTGCAATATGTTTCCAACTTGTTCATTCCATGCCTAGAAGACTTGGTGCTGTCCTTACAAATCATGGAGGTCAAACAAAATACTAGATTGGCCGGGCGGCTAATGGTTAAAGAATGAAAAAAAATAGATGTTGCAATATGTTTCCAACTTGTTCATTCCATGCCTAGAAGACTTGGTGCTGTCCTTACAAATCATGGAGGTCAAACAAAATACTAGATGTAGTAGTTTTTGTTGTGGGTGTATTTGTTTTTTCATCAACTAATTTGAATAAAACTGAAGATTCTGTAATCTAAGTTATATTATTTACCTTACTTTCATGTAATGAGCTAAACAAATGTTCTATAAAACTCAGTTTTGTCAAAATTTTGGAAATTGTTCTTGTGTTCATTGAGATATTAATTAAAATCTTACTTTTCAAAAGGAGTGTACTCATGTATGCTGAGCACTGTATATCGTGCAATATTTTTAATGTTATAGTATTTTTTTATTATTTGACTAATGTAATTAAGTTAAGTATTTATTGCCATGATATAGACTTCCTTGTGTTTATTTAGTTTAGGGGTCACGTTTAGTGTTAGGTCTATGAAATATTTCATGGTTAAGGGATTGGGTTGAGGGTTAATGTTAAGTTTATGGGTTAGTATGTGGTTATTACCTTTCAGATGTGATAAGTGTAAAATTAATTAATTTGTTTGCTGAAATTTTTGGCACCAAAACTCTTGCATCATAAACAAACAGCTAAACCATAACATACCAGTAAAATTGTGTTTTTTATACTTTGGACATCATCACAACAACAGACCTTAATTAAAAGACTGTCACCTTTTTATCAAACTCTAGCTAAGCAGATAAATATAAATATGTGAATGTGTGCCAAAAAAGATACATTTCTGTTCATTCAGTATTGGTATTTAGACAGCCCTGCCACACAGCACAGCCTTGTATTATACTACCACTGTAATAGCAGCTGAGCTTGGACAAGGATACCCAATAGCCTGGACCACCAGTTTCTGCAATGAGATCTTGGCACTGATGTGTTGTCTTTCAGTCCCTGCAGTTCAAAGGCCTGATTAGTTAAAAAGTGTATCTAAACCACAAAGCAAAAATGTAATATAGTGCAGTTTACCAATCTTTAAATGTAGCCACCACATATAAGGATTGGTAAGCTACAATACAATACATTTTTGGTTTAGATTAGCTTTGAAGTATTACTAAACCCAATACCCTGCATTCACTATATCTGGTCTCCCACAGTACACAGAACATGGTAATGCAATTATTAGTAAATATAAACGGTTAAATACCTTTTTCTCATCAGCAGTTAGAGCAGTCTTGTGACTTTTATCAGTGTCCAGCAGAGCACTGGTTAAAACTTGTAGGAGTTTTCATTCTCCTCTCATTGTCCAATGAGACTGCATAACCTCTGACCCTCTGTCTGGGCAGCGCTGATTGGCCCTGTGCTGACCACATGCATTTCCCAAGAAAAAAAAAACTCTTCAGCAATAAGCATTAAACTGAGCATGTGCAGCTTGCTCCCAAGGCTCTGTTCTATCAGAAGATGAGTTGGGGACAATGGAAGAAGGGGAAGATCAGAGAAAATGGGATCAAGCATCCTTTTTACACAATGCAGAGGATTAACCCCTTAAGTTCTACAATGAGTATAAAAGGCATGCTTTATGCATTATTTTTATTATATAACTACAGATTTTACTGTTGTGGGTTTAGTAACACTTTAGTTATGGTTCTTTAGGGCTTAAGTAATGCTTTGCTTTAGGGTTGGTGATTTTAGGTGTTTAGGATTAGGAAATAAGATTAGGGTTTTTTCCACATTTATTGATGGGTTAGGTGGGATTCAGGTAAATGATTTTAGAAAGATCTCATTTTAACATTTACCGATGGTAAGGTTGAATATTAGGGTTAAGTGTTTAGGGTTCATTTGAAAGGTTGTTTTTTTTAAACACTGTAGTTTACTCTTGTTTCTACATGGAAGCCCAGCTCTGTGCGTCATAAATGAATCTAGCTACCCCTGCCTGCTTATAGAACAACTATCGTACAATTGCAGCTTTTTTTTAGGGTACAAAAGAGGTAGCACAAGATCTCGTTGGTGGCGAGTAAGTCGGTGGCAGCTTAACTCACTGAGTATCCTCAAAGTGAATTCTTTGAAGTATAAGAAGATTGTGGAGGAAGATGAGGAGCGCCATGAATGAATAGAAAGTGTTGGAAACTCCAGCTGGTTGAAAAACAGTGATCACTTTATAAATGTATGACATAAAATTTAGCCAATGCATGTCGGGGAACTGGGGTTCCCCTTCTTCAGGGTATGGTAGTGTTATTAGATCTGTTGGCTATGGGCACTGCAGTCTGTGGGCTATTGGGATAAGTGTTCCAGAGTATCTGCTGTGCCTGGGCTCATCACCCACCTACAGAAATGTATCTTGGCAGTTAAAAAGAGAACTCCACTGGAGATTACTACATTGTATGTCATGAATGGGCTCCCAATGCATTGTAATTGTTATCTAATAGAACTGGAAAGATTTTTTGCTATTCCTTGGAATATTACTTGGCCAATCTAACCAAAGCACTGTTCTTTATACCTACATTGTGACTCCTGATGAAATATGTTCTTAAAATTGTCCCTACTGTCCCCTCTAGGTGATCTACGTAAGTTGAAGAAGTTTAACAAACTTTGTTGCAGATTCCTCCCTGTTTGTGCTCTGAAGAATAAGGTATTTGATTATGTCAATGTGCGGAGTATCTCACCAAAAACGAAATTCTTATTGCAGAGGTTGCCTAAAATCTGACTTGTATTTTAGTGCAGACTTCTGGGAGAATCAGAGAGCCAATCACACAGCAGGAAGGGACGTTTCTGGGGAAGTTTTGTACACTTGTATACACACTTTGAATACAGAAGACCTCCAGATGCCCTCAGGCCACCCTCATGAAGTCTGTTTCTGATTGGTCAGAGACATTCACACCAGTGGCCTGCTAGAGGTCATTTTGCAGGGCTCTGGCAGTGCTCATCCTGTTCCTCCTTGCACAAAGGAGCAGATACCAGTCCTGCTGATGAGTTAAGGACCTTCTACGGCCCTGTCCAGTTCTCCTAGTGTAGCTCTCTGTCTCCTGGAATCTCCTCCGTGCTCTTGAGACTGTGCTGGGAGACACAGCAAACCTTCTGGCAATGGCACGTATTGATGTGCTATCCTGGAGGAGTTGGGCTGCCTGTGCAACCTCTGTAGGGTCCAGGTATCTCCTCATTCTACCAGTAGTGACACTGGCCCTAGCCAAATGCACAACTAGTGAAAAACAGTCAGAAAAGATGAGTAGGGAAAAAACTGTCAGTGACCTCCACCTGTAAAACCATTCCTGTTTTGCAGGTCGTCTCATTGTCGCCCATCTAGTGCACCTGTTAATTTCATTAACACCAAAGCAGCTGAAACTGATTAACAACCCCCTCTGCTACTTAATTGACCAGATCAATATCCCAGGAGTTTGATCCTATACTCTGATTAAAAAGTGTTCCTTTAATTTTTTTGAGCAGCGCATTAAAGAATGACTAAATAACTAGGTACCAGTCTGCCACAGCGCTGAGTGAGAGTGTTCACCAGCCAACCCAGTGTCCATGACCTCTGTGATAGGCAGTGTCAGTTATCACTGCCATGACAATAGAGCAGAAATGAATAAAATAACACAATTTTTCAGAAGCTCCACTCTGCCTAAACTTTTCTGCATCTGTTCTGGTTGTGAGTACAGCTTTAATTTTGCTTTCTTGGTGTAGAGGTTTAGTTTACAATGCACTCCAGTCATTTATTTCATTGAGAAATTAGCATTTTCTATAAAACATGAAACCAGTTACTGACTTTGCTGTTGGACTATGCCCTACATAATGCATTTCTTATGAATTCTTTAATATCAAGGGTGCCCACCCATTATGATTGTAATTACCTCCCTCTTTCACTTTCTGCTGCCAGCTCTGTAAGTTCTTGTGCCAATGTCAATACATTGACATTATTTTAAGTTTGCTGCTATCCAAATGTAGAACAAATAAATAATTTTTCAGCAGGCTGAATAGGAATTGTGAAGTAGGGAAAGTGTTGGGTTTGACTTGAAATTATTCACTTCCAGAGCTACACACTTGTATTTTTTTTTTCTATTTTCAGCCAATTCAATCAGCTGTACAAACAACAATATGGAATTCCTGAATGAGAATGGTCCTATTAGTTCCTATAGCAAGGGTTAAAAGGCCAGCTCCTTTGTCACTTCCCATGGAAAGTCTTCTCTGCCAAAATGACCATAACATGCAGTATTTTGATATATAGGCTTCTTCAGGTCTAGATCCCTGAAAAAGAAAAAACAAATATAGGGACTCAATATTCAAATGTACATGCAACGTAAGTATACAGGTTTTATAATATCAGACCTTGTGAGACATGTGTAAGGTTTCAAGATGTTCGGCATGTGTGTTAATTATTTTATTTTATTGATCATTCTGCTGCATCTTATTGTGCACCAAGATCAATCTATATCAGTGTCTCCCCAGAAGAGAATTTCACTGTCATAGTTATAAAGATGTAGCTCCCTCCTAGGTTGCTAGGGGGAGCTGGACTCCAATTGTAAGCCAGAGCAGAGTAGCAGCCTGGGAGTAATAGCCAGCAGGGGACAAAATTTGGTCAGAGCTGAGAGACTCTGCAGACCGGCCAACTGGAATTTCCCTGTGCTCTAGACCTTTGGAGAAGGGTCTAAAAGCAGTGTATGGATCTGAAGAGTGGCTGGTCTGCACTTTTGAAGGAGCCTGACCAATCCCCAACAGGAGGCTTGGTAAGGGGCCAGGGCAACCCTTAAAAGTGGTGGAGCCTGCTCAGTAGGTGTGTAGTTGAGGAAGAAGAGAGAGAAGGATGTGAGGCTGGAGACAGGAGCCTGTGAGGGGGCCCAGATGGAGAGGGGCTCACCTGCAGGCAGAGGACCTAGGAAGGTGGAAAACTTGGGACATCACCGGTTCCCTGAGAGAGGACCACCTGTGTGGCAGGGAAGGAGTGGCCCAGCTGGAAGGTCTGGTAGCAGCCACTGGCCCACTGACAGCAAGGGGAAAAGAGCACTCTAGTGGGGAACTAAATGAGGGTATCCTCCTGCGCTTTTTATGGATGATGGAAAATCTGCTAATAGCTGCTGCCACTCAACTTAAACCAATAAGTGTAAATAATGAATATATATATATAGTGAAGCGCTATATAAAACAAATCTTAAACATATACAATACTATCGTGCTGTGTTAACCCTGATGAAGTCATGAGGCACGTGACGCAATGCGACGGTACGCCATTTCCGGTACGAGGTGACGCACTTCCGGACGCACAGCGGCCATATTGCTCTACCCAGTTACCATGCAGTACACCCATAGGATGTGGTGACAGGCATTTTTGACTGGGATTACATGATCTTTGCTTTGTATCTCATTTATATAGCCTTGAGTGGAGGTGGCATGGATAAGGTGCGCTTGGGAGAAGTCTTTATTTCATTCTATGGTCCCTTTGACGAGGAACGCAATTGAGAGGATCTGGTATTGTGAATCATAGCCTTTTGGCCCTGTGTGGGTCATTGTGTGTAGGTGAGCAGGCATTGCTGCCATTTGAGGATTCCCTTTTTTTTTCACCAGAGTGAAGATCACGTTTTTAACGTTTCACTCTCCTTTCACTTGCATGGACTTTTATGCTTTGCATTTCACAGATGTTTTTTGCATTGTTTTTTATTTTAATATTCATATATTATTTATATATTGGGTGTTTATTAGCAATATACTAGTTATTGTCAAATCAGCACGTTATGTCATTTTCCCTTTTTTAGGGATCACTATCACATATTTTCAGTGGTTTTTTCACATATTTTCAATGGTTTTTCACTTCAAATTGTTCCAATATATTATTAATTTTATTTCTGTATTTTCTATCGCTGAGCACTATTGTGTTGGCACGGTTTGCATTACACAGCACGATAGTATTGAATATGTTTAAGATTTGTTTTATATAGTGCTTCACTATATATATATATATATATATATTCCTAGTGGGGAACTAGATGTGCTGTCTTACCCGGGACTGTTTCACACTGCAGTGGTAGGCACTGGATCCTCTGCCCAGGATTCACCCAGTACAGCTAAATGAGTAGATGAGTCATTTTGGTCTGGGGTGGTACTACAGGAGATGCTAGCTAGCTCTCCAGAAGAGAGACTTTGCTGTAAAGACTTGTACATAGTTGCTATAGAGTTTTTTTCCTCGGTTGCCATTTCCCTTGGCATCCCATACACCCCTTATCCCACCCAAAATTCGAATCCCCTAATACAACTTCAAAACAAAGCCCAAGGACTGGTTACTGTCTCCTATTGCAAGTCAGAGTGAAGGAAATGCTTATTGCATGGCTGTGCACGACTAGAGGGGGACCCAGAATCTTTGCAACTCCTAAGGGGGTAGTGCTACATAAACACATGTAGTGCCCGCTGACTACCCTGAAGATAGGATGGTACCTCTAAAGGGCAGGAAGGGAGCTGGCATTTAACCCAGGGCTGAATCCATAGCTAGAAAAGGGGAGATTAGAACAAAAATTGGCACCAGTCACTTTAGGTCTTTTTCAAAGATTTAATGTTGAACTTGAAAAGAAGTGGAAGGAGAGGGTTTGGGGTTTCAGGTGCCATGCAGATCACTTACAGACTCCTTGGATTCAAGAAGTCCAGCTTCACAGTGTCAGAATCTTTAAGCTGACCCGGCAACACTGCAAGCACGTTTTCAGAGTCTAGTGTGTCCTCCAAGTGAGTCCCCAGGCCCTTCTGAGAGACCAGCTTTCATCCTGGCTCTATCCAGCAAGGGGCCTCTCCTGGATTTTCTCACCTTAGCTTGGCTTCCTCCACTCGGGCAAGACAGCCTCAGCACCACTACAGAACAGGTAGGCCCAGGCAGGCGTCTGGGCCTAATACAGAGCTCTCTCCAGCAGCACCTCCTCAGGCCTTGGTCTGAGGCAAGAGAGCGAGCAAATGTGACAAACTTATCCACCACGTGATAACACTTTAATATCCATCATCCTTACTTTTACCCTTCAATCAAAATTATCTTGCATCTGTGTATTGGCCTTGCGTCACTCTATCGTTTATTGCTTCAAAATGACTGTGCACATCCTTTGAGAAAGTCGAAATGACGAAACGCGTCAGTAGGACATCAAACATTGACTGGAAGTGTAGCAGCAACCATTTTGGATAAGGTGTTGGACCAGGTGTTGTATGCTGGCTCTCTTATACACTGTATGCTTTTTTAGCGAATTAGGAGCTCTGTTTTTATTATACTACGCTATGGTCATGCCACGATCAGGGGTCAGGCTCGAAGACCAATTGCTATAGCAGTGGAAAGGCTCACCTGAAACCAGCAGGATAGGTACACAGGCAGGTCACCGTGGCAAAGGAGTGGGATCACCCGAGGTGCGGAGTCTAAGTACTAACCAGTGTTCACCAGAGCTCCTGATGGTGGAGATGGATTTTGCTGCGTGTTAGCACCAGGTCGCGGTCCTCAGGATCACACCAGGAGGTGAGCAAGCAGAGGTCCAGTAGCGTATAAGCAGGTAAGGATCAAATGGAAGCTTGGTCAGTAAACAAGCCAAGGTCGGTAATGAGCAGTCGCAGGTTGGGATCAGGCAGAAGCGTAGTCGAGAACAAGCCAAGGGTCAATAACGAGTGGTAGAAAAATATGGATAATAACAGAGAAGACAAGGAGCAAGATACAGGCTGGAGAGCACAATAATCTGGCAAACAGGAAATGCAGAGACATGGCTTATATCAGGAAGTTCATGGTAGGAGCAAGGGGTTCAAGGTTCATGACAAATAAGGTCAAGGTAGGATCATCCAAATAATTGTCAAGGGAGCTGTCCAGCATTCCAGGTGGCTCAGCAAGAAGAAACATTGCCATTCTCCACAGAAGGCCCAGGTTCAGACCCAGGCTCTGACAGGTCAACTTTGTTTAGTTCCACATGGATGAATGCTGATTGGAGAGCCAGCAGCAAAGGGAACTATAGAAGTTGGAGTGGCGGTCTATGGGACTTTTATGCTCTATGTAAAAGGGGAGTCGGCTAAGGTGAATGACTTATAAGGTGGTGAAACCTAATTGGTGGATGGAACACATGTTTGGTTTGATTATAGAGTTGGAAAGAGAGTGTGAGTACATAAACCTTTTTCACTACGTATAACAATAATACGCTATGTGAGCATTTTCTTTTCGGGGAGTCAATTTTGAAGCAAGAAAAAGGAAGAGTGATGCAAGGCCAATTTATATAGATGCAAGATAATTTTGATTGGAGGGTAAGAGTAAGGATATTGGAGTGTTATCACGTGGTGGATTAGTTTGGCAAATTATTTGCCTAGTTTATGTGAGTTTAATACATATTTTAAACTGTGACTTAAGCAGATAATGCACTATATGCACTTTTTGTATGTATTTTTGCATGGTGAGAGAGAATCATCTTAGGAGAAGAGCAAGAGGGATTCACACATTCACGCACAGATTGAAGGATTTGATCAACTTTATTATCTGGTAAGCGCATAATAAGAACTGAAGGAAATTACCAGCAGAGGAGATTTTATGTGACTGTGGAAGGGAATTAGAAATTGCATATTTGACTTATGCGCTGGTCTCTACTATATATATATATTTTTGCCTTCCCTGGGGGGAGGATTGATCTAGCTGCTCAGGAAACTTTACAATTGATTTATTTTTGGTGATATTGGCTGTATGTGATTCTCAGGTGTGGATTAAATATATTATAACCATTAAATTAGCTTTACAAGTTAATGGCTAAACCATTTGTAAGGGAATGTAAAGGCATTTTGTTTAAATTAAAATAATAAATGTGTTATGCTTTCCTGTTCTGTGCAATGGTATTGCATAGAGCAGCACCTTTTCTCCTTTTCTGCGGTCCCCTGACACCACTCTCTATTCCTCCTCTACTGTGTGTGCCTCCATAGCAAGCTGCATGCTAGGGGGGCAGACGTGAGGGTGAGTTCCTGAGCCAGGGTGTGTGAATCCATAGGCACACGCAGGGGAGTTTGACCCCAGCCCTGCTCCTGCCTCACAGGATTTGACTGACAGCAACAGGAGCCAATGACACGTCACTGGATCGATACATGACTAAGGTAAGTGTTTAGGGAGTTGGGGGCGGCATAGCAAGTGCTTAATGCAGACAGTGCATTAAGGCAAACAATGTTTTAACTTAAGAACGACTTTACCTTCCATATAAACCAATTCCATACTGGTTTCTATTGATATGGTAGAGGAGTCTTGGAGTCACATTACTTTAGAGAGTTTTAAATAACATAAAATGTTCTAGTGGGTTATAATTATTCATTATCAGATATTTAAATGAAGTGAAACCTGTTTTAAAGCAGGAACATCTAAGTGCAGGAAAAAGTTATCTGGGAAACACAAAAGTCATTTTTTAGTTTATACCTCTCAGATAACTTCTCTTGTGTTTAAAGGATAAGTTCACCTTTGGAATATGTTATATGTTTCCCCAATGTTTAGGGTGGAACATTTAACATGTTCCAGCATCTGCATCCTCACCCCCTCCCTCTGACAGCGGGGGCAGGGTTGAGCTGTGCTCTGTGTGTCTATGGAACATGCATGAGTACCCCCATAGTAAGCAGCTTGCTATGGTTGGCACTTTGTGGGGGGTGGGGGGGAGCAGCCAGGAGAGAGCGCCAGAGGTGGACCCGAGAAGAGGAGGATTGGCGCTGCTGAGTGCAAAACCATTACACAGAGCAGGAGGTAAGTGAGACATATTAGTTTTTTTAAGAAAAATACAAATGATGGGTTTACAATTACTTTAAAGAGCCCAACATTTCATATTCCTGATATGTGCCTGCTGCTGTACTTGTATGAAAAAGTATCCTGTTCTTTTTATATTGCTTCCCTTGTGTGAAATACCTGGTGTTCCTGATAGTACCTCTACTTTCCTATTAAAACATTTACCACACTAGGCTTGAGTGCACCTTGTGGTCAGTTTTCTAGCTGTGCTGGCAAGTCAGCCTGCTCTCCTCCAATGATCAGACTTCTTCTGACACCCCCCTTCCTGCACAGCAATTCACTGAAAAGATCAGTATGCTTCGGTTTCTCTTCCCCCCACTCTCTAAGATCCTTATGCAGCTGAGAACAGAGGGTATGTGATCACTTATAAAAAAAGGGGGGAAAAAAGGTGTTTGTAAAGCTTTTTATATGTATACGTACATATTTTACCTTTCATTGCTATTTTAAACTGTATGGGTTGCTTTACATATACTTTAAGTGCAACTTTTCAAGGGGAATAAATTTAATCTCTGCAGCCTTTCCTCATAAATTAGGTCCTCCACTCTGCTTACTAATTTGTTTCACTTCTCTGAACTATCTATAGTTCAGTGACATCTTTCCTGAGGGTTGATGACCAAAACTGAACTATATATTCAAATGAGGCTAAACCAGTGTTTTTTAATTCAGTAAAATTATAGTTTCCTCTCTTGAGTAAATACATTTTCTAATGCAGAATAATTAGTCTGCTGCCTTCACTGGCTGCAGCCTGGGATTGCATGCAATTGCTAAGGTTGTGGTCTACAAGGACCCCCCCCCCCCCATCCAACCTTTTTGCTTCCCTGATTTCCTCAGTGGAGCACTTCCCAATGAATAGCTTTCATGTATGTTTTAAGCTCCCAAGTGCTTAATTTTACATTTTTCAGTATTGAACCTTATCCGCCATGTAGCTGCTCACCCCTAAAATTTCAATATTCTGAAGTTATTGCATTATATAGTGTGGTATCATCAGCAAACACTGAGAATGAGTTACTTCTTCCAACCTCTATCTCATTTATATGCAATATAACCAGAACTGGTCCCACGACCAAACCCCAGAGCACTCGCCTCAGACTACCTTAGACCTTAGACTACCTGGAAGATAAGTCATTTATCATTAACCTCTGGACATGTTTATGTAACCAGTTTTCTATCCAGGTGAATACAAATATCCTCAATGCCAATAGAGCTTAACTGGTTGTTACTTATTATACCATTTTCACAGGCAAATTCTTGAATATGGTCCCTTACCATCCCTTCCCATACTTTGCATACTATTGATATAAAGCTGACTGGTCTGTAGTTTTCTGGTATACATCCTGACCGTTTTTTAAAAATTTGGTACTATTGGTTCAGTTGGTACCATTCCATTCAGTAAGGTGTCTCTTAAAATTTGGAACAATGGCCTAGGTATAATATGGCTAAGCTCTTTAAGGACTCGTGGGTGTAAGCGATCTGGTCCTGAAGAAATGTTAGCATTAAGTTTCTCTATTTTTTTTTTCACCTGGATTCCTGTCAGCCACGGAGGTATTATATCTAGTCATGGTTTATTAATTGTTACCTGACAATGACTCCAGGTCTCAGATCAAAGTTCTTATTGACAATTTCCAGTAGTTCCTTCTCACTTTTTTCGGAGGTCCCATAGGTGAAAAGAGAAACGGATAAAGGATAGGCCACACCAATTGCGTAAGACACCTTATAAATCAATATGAATAGTTAAAAGATTAATTCTGCCATCATATATAAGATAACATAATACTGTATTCATAATATCTCTCATGCTAGCATATACTGTGTAGTGAGGAACAACAACTCATACCATCAGATATTTAATTATTCTAACTAGGATAAACATATTATTAGTTAGTTATGATTGCTTTGGATTACATACTTTTCACTTCTAAATAAGCCCAAGGGACAATATAAAGGACACATTAACTAGGCAACCTATGTGTTCTGTATATCACATCATTGTGTTGAGAAGGGAGCCATCTATTGGACATTTATTGCAATTGCACCCTTTTTGTATTTTTATTATTATTTTGTATTTTGTTTGTTAAAATAAAGATTTCTCATCCACCACTGCAGTTCTGTTTTTAGCTTCCAAATGAACACACCAGTGAAGGCCTCCTTTCTCCCTTTAATACACATATACCTGTAAGTTAATTAATTGTGTTTATTAAAGTCACATATATATCTAGATTGCATTTCAATGTATTTAACCACTTGCCCTCCAGAGAATTTACCTCCCTTCCTGTCAAGGCCATTTTTTTGCATTACAGTGCTGCGTTACTTTAACTAACAATTGCATGGTCATGCAATGCTGCACCTAAATTAATTTATGTCCATTTTTCCCCACAAATAGAGCTTTCTTTTGTTGGTATTTGATCACCTGTGCATTTTTTGTGCTATAAACAAAAAAAGACCAACAATTTTGAATAACAATATTTTTGACTTTTTGGTATAAAACATGTCCAGTAAAAAAATGTAAATAATCACATTTCCTCATACATTTAGTCCAAAATGTACTATGCTACATATCTTTGCTAAAAACAAGCACAATACGTGTAAATTAATTGGTTTACATGACAGTTATGGCATTTACAAATAGCGGTATAGATACTAGATAGATACTTTTTTTTTTTGTTACTAGTAATGGCAGCAGTCAGTGACTTATAGCGGGACTGCGGGATGGAGGGACTGCGGCGGGCATTCTGACACTGTGGGGAACTGACTTGGCATTACTGACATCCCCAGTGACACCAATACAGTGATCAGTGCTAATAAAAAGCACTGACACTGTACTAATGGCAGGAAGGGATTAACATGTGGGGCTATTGAAGGGTTAACTGTGTGTTGTGTACCATTTTACATAGTGTGCTCTGTTAGTTCTTCACTGTAAGCACACTGCTTTGTATGGCTGTGCTATGCAGAGCCATACAAAGCAGTGTGCAGGAGCTGACAGGGGAGAGAGCTGTATTATTTCCAAACAGTTCTCCCCCCCCCCCCCGTCGGACATGCTCGGCAATCACTGGGTGCTGGCGAGTAATCACCAGCCGGGACCTGGTGATTGACAGCCGAGACCGCGAATGGGTAGGAACTGCAAAATCACGTACAGTTGCAAGAAAAAGTATGTGAACCCCTTGGGATTACTTGGAGCTTTGCATGACTTGGGCATAAAAATGTGCTCTGAACGTCATCTAAGTCACAACAATAGAAGAACACAGTCTGCTGAACATAATACTACACAAACATTAGATGTTGCCATGGTTTAATTGCACATAACATGTAAACATTCACAGTGCAGGGAGGAAAAAGTATGTGAACCTTTGGACTTAATAACTGGTTGACCCTCCTTTGGCAGCAATAACCTCAACCAAACATTTCCTGTAGTTGCAGATCAGACCTGCACAACGATCTGGAGTAATTTTGGACCACTCCTCTTCACAAAACTGTTTCAGTGTAGCAATATTCTTGGCATGTCTGGTGTGAATCGCTCTCTTAAGGTCACAGCATTTCAATTGGGTTGAGGTCAGGACTCTGACTGGGCCACTCCAGAAGGCGTATTCTGTGCTGTTACAGCCATTGTTTTGTTGAATTACGTGTATGCTTTGGGTCATTGTCCTGTTGCATCACCCATCCTCTGCGGAGCTTCAGTTGGCGGACAGATGGTCGTACGTTTTCCTGCAAAATGTCTTGATAAACTCTGGAATTCATTTTTCCATCAATGACAACAATCCGTCCAGGCCCTGAGGCAGCAAAGCAGCCCCAAACCATGATGCTCCCTCCGCTATGTTTTACAGTGGGGATGAGGTTTTGATGTTGGTGTGCTGTGCCTTTTTTTCTCCACACATAGTGTTGTGTGTTCTTCCCAAACAACTCAATCTTGGTTTCATCTGTCCACAGTATATTTTTTGCCAGTAGTGCTGTGGAACATCCAGGTGCTCTTTTGCAAACTTCAAACGTGCTGCAATATTCTTTTTGGACAGCAATGGCTTCCTCCGTGGTGTCCTCCCATGTACTCCTTTCTTGTTTAATGTTTTCCTTATTATAGATGTGTCAACAAAAATGTTAGCATGTGCCAGAGATTTCTGTAGGTCTTTAGCTGACACTCTGGGATTCTTCTTTACCTCATGCAGCATTCTGCGCTGTGCTCTTGCAGTCATTTTTACAGGACGACCACACCTAGGGAGAGTAGCAACAGTGCTAAACTTTCTCCATTTGTAGACAGTCTGTCTTACCATGGACACATGAACATCAAGGCTTTTGGAGATACTTTTGTAACCCTTTCCAGCTTCATGCAAGTCAACAATTCTTGATTCTTGGTCTTCTGAGAGCTCTTTGCTGCGAGGCATGGTTCACATCAGACAGTGCTTCTTGAAACCAGTAAACCCAAAACAGGTGTGTGTTTTTTAAGGGCAGGACAGCTGTCAGCAACACATCCAATATCATCACACTGATTGGAGTCAAGGTTGCCTCACTCCTGGCTCCAATTAGCTCTGGGAGAAGTCATTAAGCTAGGGCCTCACATACTTTTTCCTCCCTGCACTGTGAATGTTTACATGTTATGTGCAATTAAACCATGGCAACATCTAATGTTTGTGTAGTATTATGTTCAGCAGACTGTGTTTTTCTATTGTTGTGACTTAGATGACGTTCAGAGCACATTTTATGCCCAATTCATGCAAAACTCCACGTAATCCCAAGGGGTTCACATACTTTTTCTTGCAACTGTATATATATGGAATATGTATATATGGGAAGTGGTTAATGTGATTTGTAGGTAGCTGTTTACAAGAAATGTGTTTATTGTAGGCATTTGTGAGAGACATATCTACAAGTATATTGTAATTTCAATTTATGTGATTGTATTGCAGTATTACAGAACTACTCACAAAAGTAAATTTAGTTTTGGAATGAAACAAAACGTCTTCTTTCAGTTTTGTTACGCAGCTGTTGACTAACCGTTGGTAGGACAGCACACTATATCTAAAATTCCGTTTTCTGTATCACTATCAGGAGAAGCATTGTCTGTTGAATATATTGTGATAATGTTTTTTACATAATAAGGGTAAGCAATCAAGTTTATATATTCCTTTCAGGAATGGATTTCTGCATAGATAACATAAGCTGTGGATGAGGGCAGCAGGGATGCAAAGATTTGCAACACAGCCTCCCATCATGTGTCATGTCGCTGACAGTAACACACTCATGCATGTAATAAAATGTTCTCCACTGCCTCTTTGCTTGTCAGAGCTGTTCTATGTGGTTCATATTGGTGCTCCTGTGTAAATGTTGTGCATTTATATTGCTGGAATAAATTAATGGGTATTTACAGCTCAGCTTCTCTGACCATAAACTCAGAACCAGGGGCGGACTGACCATTTGGAAACTCGGGGTCAGTAGGGGGCCCCATGAGATGCCCCTGGTACCTTTTTCATAGGCTTTTTTGAGTTTGGGGAAGGACACAGGGGCCCCATGATCCCATATTGCCCGGGGGCCCCATGAGTTGTCAGTCCGCCCCTGCTCAGAACAAAACTGCTAGCAGGTCAGTCTACCCTAGGCTTCTAGTTTTGGTGTACTGACGCTAAGTGAACAAGATGTTTTTTAAGCAGCTCTTACCCAACCTACATATACTCTAAAGGTATGATATTTAGATTCGCCAGGTAGATGGAGTAAGAGGTGGGTGGCATTAGACAGTAGGCCAAGGAGCAGGAGCATACATATGACTGTAAAAAGAGTTGTACATACCTGAACAAGGACACGATGGCATAGCTTAGCATGTACCAAGGATTTGGCCACCCAACGAGCAGCATAGGCAGCAGAACGATCCACTTTAGTGTAGTCTTTCCCTGAAAATGCTCCACCACCATGAGCACCCCATCCTCCATATGTGTCTACTATAATCTTCCGGCCAGTGACTCCAGCATCACCCTGCAATTCCATACATTGTGATTGTGAGAGCAATACCAGGTATAGCAAGATTATTTACATTTATGAGTATTGATATTTCATGTTCACTTTATTGCATTGCTAAAAAGGAATGCAATTATTTTTAAATTGGAGTACACCAATGAGAATTAATTGCTTCAACTTGCTGATTGGTAGGAGAGTTGTATTTTGGGCAAAAAAAACAATATGATTGGGTGATGTGCATCAGACTAAAGTGAATGTGGAGTCAAATGCTGCATTTCTAAATTTCAGAATGAAAATTGAATATATTGTAATTTAGTCCTTAGATATGGTAGCTGCAAAACAACCTTTTTCAAGCTTTTTCTTTATTTTCAACTGGTGATCTTACCAGTGACACACTTCCTGTCCTAGGGTGACAGCACCCATTCCGTAAGGAAAGGGAGTCCTAAAATGCACATCACAGCAAAACCCTGTGAGAAGGTGTATGACAGCCTCAGCCTGAGCTCCCACCAGGCCACGCCCTCCAACACGTTTTACTGCGCCTCGGAGTTCCCCATAATTACATCTGGGTGAAGTGAAATGCGTTGTGCATGGCCTGGTTGAAGCCGAAGCTGAGGCTGTCATACACCTCCTCACAGGGTTTTACGGTGATGTGTAACTTCTAGGACTCCCTTTTGCTACTGGATGTTTTGAGCTGGGATTCACTCTGTCCTTGTTGGCACTCCTAGCGGATTGTCATGAAGGAGGACCTGGTGGAGCTTTGACCGACACCGGTCATTTTTGTTGTGAGCATACACTCAGTTTTCTGTGTTTATGGAGGAGCAGTGTTGTCAGTCTTGAAAAGAAAGTGTGTTGGGATTACAGAGCCTCTCCCATGTTTCTGTTTGTAATAACATTGGGGTGGGTGGAGGGATCTGTAGCTCATATAGAAAGCTGGAAACAAAGTTAAATAGGCTGTTCACATTGCAAAGGAATTTTCCCCAATCACATGCAAGGAAAAAAACATGTTTTTGCTTCTGCATGATTCACCTCATTCACTAAACTCTGGGGATAATTCCCTTCTATAGTGCAACTTCCCTTGAAAAGTGAATAGCCTATTTACCTTAAATAAATCAACCCCAAAGAGCACATAAATTTATTAGCTCATAAGATTTCTGACAGTATCAACAATTTTTCTTTCATTTCACTTATCAAAGAGATAAGTTTTAATAGCTTTTAATGGTATATTTCATGGACCAGCTAACGACACCACAAAACAGCATATTCACTCCTTGGCCATGACTAATGGCAACTCCCTCCTCACTGGCTTACCCCCTACACAGGTTATCCCCTTCAGTCTATTATGAATGCTGCTGAAAGACTAATCCACCTTACTAACCGATCCGTGACTGCTGCCCCTCTCTGTCAGTCTCTGCACTGGCTTCTACTAGCTCAACGTAAAAAAAAATCAAAATACTAACCACAACATACAAAAGTCATCCACAACATCATCTCAAGCTATATCACCAACCTCATCTGCAGATATCACCCAAACCATCCTCTCCACTCCTCCCAAGACCTCCTGCTCTCCAGTTCCCTTATTACCTCCTCCCACTCGCCTCCAGGACTTCTCCAGAGCCTCTTCCATCCCCTGGAACTTCCTGCCTCAGTATGTCCGGTCAGCTCCTACCCTGTCTGCCTTTAGGTGATCCTTGAAAACTCATTTGCTTAGGGAAGCTTACCCAACCTCCACCTAAGAACTGTGCTTGAATCACCCCATCAGATCATCCCCTACTCCTCCCTTAAGATTGTAAGCTCCACAAGCAGGGCCCTCCTATTCCTTCTGTATTGAACTGTATTGTAATCGTACTGTCCCCCTTTATATTGTAAAGCGCTGTGTAAACTGTTGGCGCTATATAAATCCTGTATAATAAATAATAAAGGACCAAAAGGAAGCAAAGAGGTTCATTGCTAGGATTTATGTATACAAAAATTCTGTAAAGGGGAGAGGAGGAATTTATCAGCTGGATAGTCACTTTGACCTAAGGATCTGGAAAATAAGAAGATCTATAGGCGTTATCTAAAGGAAGTATTACAACAGGTCATAGCACCTGTGGGCCACCGATGACAAAACGTCCGCTGGGCTGTAGGTGATATATAGTCTTCTCATCAAGGTACTTGGCAGGGACCACCACTTTTATAACTTTCTCCTTTAAGGCCTCCCGCATGTCATTCAGAGAAATGGTTTCATCATGCTGTACCGATATTACAATGGTGTGTACACGGACAGGGATAACAGCCCCATTCTTCTGGATATACTTTACTGTCACCTAAAATGCAAACATAATTTTAGGAATGACTAGTGAATATATATATATATATATATGTATATATATATATATATAAAATACAGTGAATATTTTCTTACAATATTATTTAACAGTCTCATCTCCCACTGAAAAACACACTTTTCTGGTTTAAAAGACCATATTAATTTCACAAATATTCAGTTAGGTGAAGACAGTGCTGTATGTATTGGAACAAATAAACTATACAGTACCACACAATATCATTCATTTTGCAAAAATCTGCACCACTTGCATGTACCATAGGAATTCTTTATTGATTATTTACCAAAGTTAAAAAAAAAAACATTTTTTTTATCTACAGCTTTAGTTACAATACTTACAGTATCTGTAATGAAGTATGTCCCATATGTATGTCCCACATTTTTTTTTCACTTAAATTTATTAAGAGTTTCCAGTTTTTCACAGCAAAATAATATCAGGGGTAGGGATTATATCCTCTACCAAATCATTTCCATAGTACATCAATACAGAGAAGAAAAAAAAAAAGAAGGTACTATATTGTCTGGAGTATTGGAATGGTTATAGAGATGAAAATAGTAAATAATATCGAGAACAATGGTCTTAGATGGCTTCATAGTGGGCAAGGACAGTCGATTGCAGAGGTAATTTACCTAGAAATTGGCGGTATAGGTAGGATCGTGATGATTAAGGTAACGTGCAGCTTCTTGAGTCATTAAACCATAATGCCCAATGTTTAAAGAATTTGGGGATCATTAAATGTGCCTTAGCAATCATAAATTCCAATAAATATTGGTCATTAAGGAGAGAGATCCCTGTCTGAATGGTGGGTGATGAGGGTTTCTTCCAATTGAGAGCTAATGACCCACATTTTGAATGCTGCTGGATTCTGTCTATACCACCAATATTCATACAGTTCTTCAAAAATGTGGTACAGACCATTAGTAACCAAAAGAGAGAATAGAGAGAACCTAATCAATAACAGATATTGTGTCATCGCCACTTCCCCAGGAGTTGCCTTCTTTTATTACTGCTCGTGAAATGACGAGGTAATGCCAAAATACATGTGGAGCTTACCACAAACTCCTGCATAATGGAGTGATGCAGAAAACAATTGTGATAACCGGGCAGGTACCATTTTGAGACAGAGAAGTTAGAAAAAGAATCCACATTTTTATAAATGCAGGTTTCCTTTGGACAGCATCTGAATTAAAGTGTTACTAAACACATGACCCTGCATTCACTATATCTAGTCTCCCACGGTACACAGAACATGGAAATGCAATTATTTTATCAATTATAAACTGCCAAATACCTTTTCTCATTAGTAGTATATAGCAGTCTTGTGACTTCTATCAGTGTCCGGCGGAGCACTGGTTAAAGCTTGTAGGAGACTTTTACATTCTCCTCTGACTTTCCTATGAGGCTGGCTGCATGTCCCCTGACCCTCTGTATGGACAGTGCTGATTGGCCCTGTGCTGATCACATGCACTCTCCCAAGAAAAAAAAAAACCCTAGCAATACACACTAAACTGAACATGTGCAGAGTGACTCCTAGAGCTCTGTACTATCAGCAGATGGATTGGAGACAATAATAGAAGGGGAGAATCAGAGAAGACAGGATCAAAGAGCTTTTTTACACAATGCAGAGAATTAACCCCTTAGGTTCAACAGAGAGTTTATAACAAGCATTCTTTACTGCATATACAACCTGATTTTACTGCTGTGGGTTTAGTAACAGTTTAAGACACTCTCTTTGCTTTGCATATTTTATTAGAGATGGGAATGCAAAAACACCATTTCTGTACAAAAGCACAAGCAACGGATGTGCAGAGACCCGAAAAAACCCCGGCAACCAAATATCATTGTACTGAAATCAGATTACCACACCATAAATTGGCTCATTGTTCTACACTTTGTGCATTGTTCTGTGCCTCACTGAACAAGTCCTTTCATTTGGGAGGTATGTTTTAAAGCATTCTTGATGTTGAAGAACACGTTTCACATTCTTGAACACGTCATGCAAAGTTAGATGAGCTCCACAAAGTCATACTGCTTCTAGCCATGCCTGAAGTTATGTGGAACAGCTGAATGGTGTATGCTTACTCTTCAAGAAACAAATCTTCACTGCAGTAACAGATGTATGCAGTATAGACAGAGTACACACTGCTCATGGCAGTTCTAACTGTCACATCTCACAGGAAATTTACACACAACCATTACTGCAGAGAAACTGACACTGGCAGATGGTGGTCGTAACCTGAGTGTTTTGGATAACCAAATAATATGCACCATTAAATCTATGAAAAGTGGAACAAGGATGCACAGGAAAACATGCAGACTATACAGTTTTGGGATCTGCATCTATAATATGAAACATACCATAAAATCCTGCATGACAAGTAGCAATATTGGGAACATCAAGGTTAATTTTGTAAAACATGAAACGTGAAATTATTATTACTGTGCATTATTTGTTACCTTTAATAACAAATTCAATTCACAAAAGGTTTAAAGTGGAGTTCCACCTGAAAAAAAAAAAAGTCAGCAGCTACAAAAACTGTAGCTGCTAATTTTAAAATACAGCCACTTACCTGTCCCTTGGTCCAGTGGTGTCCTCACCACCGCTGGTTTCACCGGTCGTCTTCTCTCCCTGGCGCCGGCATCTTCAATGTGGGAACCAGGCTGTGACAGCTTCACAGCTGGGTGCCCACTGCTCATGTGCTCTTTGTGAATGGCCCTATAGTCTTCTGGGACCTGTCACGTGTCCCAAAAGACTACGGGGAGGGAGGAGGGGGAGGCCAATTTCCACTTCCGAACGCCTCGGTGATCGCAGCAGAAGCAGGAGCGGGTACTTGTCAAATTCGGGTACCCGCCCCCTAAAGCTACCAATCCTTAATGGGGAGAAGGGGACAAAGGCTTAAAGCGGAACTTCCTCTTTTGGGTGGAGCTCCGCTTTAATTGCACGGATCAGCTTGAATTTACAATGTGTGGAAAATATTACAGATTTCTGATGTATTGTATATATATAAGATATTCCACAAAAAATGTCATATGGGTTTTACATTAAATACATATTTCCCAGATCTATACTGGAGTTCCACCCCTTTTAGACATGACAACCTAAGTTGGCTTCAGGAAATGAGAAATCAAATTTACTTGGTCTTTGTATTGTCTTCCTGCCTTCCCCACTTCTGTTTGGTAGCCAAAATAACTATTCATTATCCAGAATTAGTCAAATAAAAATTTGAGGCTTTATCACTAAGAAGCATGGTAATAGAAAAGTAGTTGCCAGTCAGAAAAAAAAAGTGGGTCCTCAAACGTCTTGCAGTCCAGTGGTGACCTGAATTCTCTGAGAGAGAAGAAATTCTGGTGCACAGAGGTGAAGTTATTCCAAAATAATAATAATAGTACGGATAATGAACAGAATGTCAGATGTTCGCAAAGCACATGACTATGATTCCATGCTGGGACAGGCACGGAAAATTAACACTGTGTAAAGATATCATGTAATGTCCATGGATATAACCAAGTCTTTGAAAAGTCTCTGGGACACTAAGTGTAAAATAGGGTAAAATAGAGGCAGGCAGCCATCCTATAGAACAAAGCCAACTCTGCATGCAAAGACAAGAAAAGACGGGGACGTAATTTCTGCCGATGCGTTCCACGCTGTTTAGCACGGACTCTTCCTGGTTTAGATGCTGTCGGACTGGCTCTACTGTACTCCAACACATCAGGGAGATCTCCCCTACTGCACCACGGCTCCACACCATCTTAACCTAGAAAAGAGGAGGGATATAGTGCAAGAGGTGCCACATCCCTAAAAGCATACAGTAGAGAAGTCCTCTTGTTGATGGGACTTTGAAGGCACAGGTTTGTCAATTAATGAACTAATAAATCAGCAGTTTAAAAATAATAATCAATGTTTATTTTATAAAATCTTTAAAAAGACATAACAGGTTGCAATACAAAAATTGTGGTGGTATTATCAAGAATTAGTGACTTAGTACTGATACTATGAAGATCAGTCATGCATGTGTTGCATTTGACGCGTTTCGATACCAATCGTCATCTCTTCCTCAGAGGTGCTCAAAAGGCGTGACGCATGGCCCCGTGTGGGGGCAGGGAAAGTGAAAATGAACCACTAGAGAATTAAAAAACATTAGTTTCCATGGATGCCGTCGACGATATTCATAAGACTCTAACAGCAAGGATGATCAGAAAACGCAGAAAAAGAAAATGAAAGCAGCCGCTCGAGTGTCTCCTGGAGGGGCCCCACCCAACCATACCAGTGGCAAACTAGGTAATGGTCCGCACATGGATACTGATAAGGTGGTGTGGGAAATAGGGGGCTGATAGTGACTTAACTCCAAAAAACTCCAAAAAGAGTTTCTCATGGAAAAAAAGAGACCACTTCTGGATTGTTTGCCCAGTTGTCGTAGTGTGTGGACAAGCCAGGCTGCATCAGCTCTGCATTTTCTGATCATCATTGCTGTTAGAGGCTTATGAATATCCTTGGCTGCATCCATGGAAACTAATGTTTTTTAATTCACTGGCGGTTCATTTTCACTTTCCCTGCCCCCACCCCATGCATCATGCCTTTTGAGCACCTTTGAGGAAGAGACGACGTTTGGTCTCAAAACATGTCAGATGCAACACATGCATGACTGATCTTCATATTATCAGTACTAAGTCACTAATTTTTGATAATACCGCCACAATTGTTGTATTGCAACCTGTTATGACTTTTTTAAGCTTGTATAAATTACAAATTGATTGTTATTTTTTAACTGCTGATTTATTAGTTCATTAATTCACAAACTTGTGCCTTCAAAGTTCCATCAACAAGAGGACTTCTCTACTGTACACCATCTTAACCTACATCTCTGGCATGACCGGCGGTACCTGCTGGACAGAGAAGGGAGGTCATATCCCCCTACACCGATTAGCTTGTTTATCTTTTGCCTCTTGTGAGTGTTTTTATTCCTATATTATTAAATACAGCATTTACTACTGCACTTAAACTGGCAACCTGAATTCTCCGAGTTATAGCAAAGAAGACGAAAGTTGTTGTGAAGAGGCAGGACTGCAGGCATTGTCAAGGAAATGTGTGGATTTCCCCTCTTTAGCAGTCTGTGTGACAGTGGCCTCCATAGAAGGAGTACATTTCCCAAATGGAGACATAAACAATGAGGAAAATAAAACCTAACCATCTGGGCACACCTCCCCAGTGATTGGATCCAGCACAATAAGTATTCATGCTGCCCATTTGACCTATTCCACTCCCTATGTTCCAGCACTTTCTAGAAGGCAGTGAGAACAGTCAAACCTACAGTCACTCTAAAAGGTAAATTAGAGTACAGAAGGTGACTTGCTGCACCATATTTGTTCAAATATTAGTTTTGGATGTACTAACACTTTCATTTTAAGTTATGGCATAAGACATACAGTGTACTTCTTATGTATAACTAGATAAAAAAAGGATTGTATCCAACAGGTATTAGTCTTTAGATTCTAACCTAAAGACCTGAAAAATTAAAGATGGGATTTTGAATAGTTGCCACATGTAATGCCGAAGTTCTTGACTAACTTTTTTATAAAGTAATATAAAATGGAGGGGCAGAGTTAGTGAAAACATAAATATCTTAGATATCACCATTAAAAAATGTTACAAATGTATTTATGTTATATAACAATTTCAATTACCTGTGTTTTCGAATCTGGTCTAAGCCATGGCAGCTCTCCATTGCGCCTTGATTCTGCTAATTTTGCATTTAGCTTGTGGGCAAGGACAATAGTCAGTGGCATACACTCTTCTGTTTCATCTGTTGCATAGCCAAACATCAAACCCTACAGAACAAAGTGAAAGACAAAATAGAAAATTCAAAGATTGTTGTTAATGAAGGTGGTGTGATGAATGCTCACTTGCATCTGGATACAGCAGTGATCTGGAATATTCGCAATCACATGCTAAAGCAGAGATGAAAGTCTTCTTGCTAGCAGTTTGGTTATGGTTTGAATCCTCTCATCCATCATTATTTTCTTTTTTACAAACTACAGGTCCAGCAAAACATTCTCATATGCTGTACGTGCTGGTATCCTATACCTAAAGGGTTTAAAGTGACTCCCTGCTATATGGGCTTTTTCATGTATGTCCTTTAATAGAAAACGATGGACTGAACTAAAATTATCTCCTAAATTCCGATCTCCAGTTCGATTTCCAGTTCAAAATATACAGTCCCAGTAGAGTAAAATTAGGAGAGTAAATCACATTTTCCCCCAAAATGTCCTGGACTTATCAGCATCATATGGGTGTTTTGTGAGGACTGGCCATTACCTGTCCATAAAAAAAAAACAGCATTTTAATAAGGCAGGGTAACCTTTTAAAAGAAGAGCAATAAAGCTTGTGGAAACTTTCAGACACACTCTTTTAACCCTTAATTTCTAAGAATATACAATGATGTGCCTATCAGGCATACTAAGTACAAGTTAGTTGGTGATCGACTGCATTTCACTACTGCAGGAGATCTGTTTCCTGAGCCAAGCAATTGCTAGAGAAGATTAGGTGCCTCAGCAATGACACCGCAAACACATACATGGCATCAAAATGGTGCCACTTCTGGAGTTCCAGATCCTAATAAAAAGCCATCATTCACCTTAATAATGTAATCTCCATTTGGGACCCTTGTGGCTGGGAGGATAATTTGAAGATAAGGATAGATTGATACCTCCCTATATAGGGAAAATCCTTAAAAGGATCCTTATGGTAGGATCATCAGGAATTATTTCAATGACACCTGCAGATTTATAATTTTGAAAATTACAAGTGTATATGGGATATTAGGGTTTTTATCTACTTTAATTTTGTTAAAGTGATTCTAAAGGTTGCAATGAAAAAAAAAAACTAACAAACATGTTATAATTACCTGCTCTGTGCAATGGTTTTGCACAGAGCAACGCCGATCCTCTTTTTTTTGGGTCCCTCCTCTAGCACTTGTGGCTCCTTCCCTCTGCCGGGTGCCCCCAATAGAAAACCTCTTACTATGAGGCCACTCGAGCAGGCTCGCTCCTGAGCCGTGCTCCCGTGAATGGACATTGTCTATACACACACACTTGCTTGGCCCCGCGTTTCTCCTCATTGGCTCAGTGCCTGTGATTGACAGCAGCAGAAACCAATGGTCCCTTTTTGTAAGATCACTTCTAAGTAAAAAATAGGGCAAGCATGCACACTTGCAGAACTGCATCTTGTGGATTTTCCAGAAGGTCTCCTAGCTGCTGTACAGGCGAATGTGTAAAATGCTAATCTTAGCACATGTGTATTCTGTTTAAAACATGGTATAAGATGTATGAATTATTAACTTAAAGCTAAATTCCAGATATGGCCATTTTTGCATAGCTACATTGGTCCAGATTGGACCAATGTAAGTATGTGCCATACCTGAGGGATCCCTCTGGAAGCTGGAAATCACTGTATACATGCCACTACAACCATGATTTCCAGCAGCTTCTATGTCCTGTGCCATGTGGCTGCACTGCTTCTCACTGAACAAACAAATTTGCCGGATCGGTATGGGTGCTATCCTAACACTTGTAGTTTTCTCAAAAAATGCAAAGTGTTCTCTGATTGGACATGATGAAGATTGTGTGTCTTCACAACTTTGCCCAATGAGAGAATGCTTTCTATTCATTCATAAAATGCAAAGTATTCCCTGGATGGGTACTGTGCAGAATACCAGGACTCTAGCAGTGATCACTGTAGTAGAAGTGCCTATTACAGCGATTTTCCACTTTCCACAGGGATCCAGCAGGTATGGCGCATACATACTTACAATGGTCTAAGATGGACTAACGTAACCATGTAAAAATTGCTGCTACACCTGGAATTCATCTTTTAAAACTTTGAAGAAAGAAAGGGCAAATATGACAAGGCAATTTTTAAAATATGTAGTATAAAATAAAATACAAAGTATTCAAAGAATGACATAGTTAATCATGTTGTAGCTTGCATAGTTAGTTTAGGATTGATAGCAACAATAAGTACACTATAGTACCTGATCACCAGCTCCAATATCTTCTTCTCTACGATCTAAATGTACACCTTGAGCAATATCTGGAGACTGCTGTTCCAGAGCTACAAGCACATTGCATGTCTTATAGTCAAAACCTACATAAATGAAACAATATATCTTTGAGTGTTTTTATCATACACACAGTATAAAAAAAACAAAGAATGTCAGTAATATTGAAGATATTTTGGGTCAGGGAATATATTGCTTTCTAACCTTTTTCAGAGTCATCATATCCAATGTATTTGATGGTGTCACGAACCACTTTCTGGTAGTCTACAACAGCTCGGGATGTAATTTCACCGCAGAGCAATACCATTCCAGTTTTACATACAGTCTCTGGAAGACAATGAGTCACATTTCATCACTTCAAGTTGCTTAATATTTGTGGTTTATATATTATACAATACAATTACCAGTCATAACAACATCATCCTGGAAAATAAAATGTTCAAACCTGACCCCAGTGAAGAATATCTAAGACAACAGCTGCTGAAGTGGCACCTTGTATTGGAGCTATTCTTAACCACTAGCCTACAGGGCACTTATACCCCCTTCCTGCCCTGGCCAATTTCCAGCTTTCAGCGCTGTCGCAATTTGAGTGACAATTGCGCGGTCATGCAACACTGTACCCATATGAAATTGTTATCATTTTTTTTGTGACAGATAGAGCTTTATTTTGGTGGTATTTAATCACCTCTGGGTTTTTTATTTTTTCTTAAACAAACCAAAAACCACTGAAAATTTCGGAGAAAAAGTTTCTTAGTTTTTGTTATAAAATTTTGTAAATAACTGATTTTTCTCCTTCACTGATGTGCGCTAATGAGGCTGCAGTGATGGGCAATGATAGGCTGCAATGAAGGACACTGATAGGTGGCACTGATGGTTACTGATGAGGAGGCAGTGGTAGGTGGCACTGATGGGCATTGACAGGCATCATTGATGGGCACTGAAAGGCAGCACTGATACATGGCACTGATAGGCGGCACTGACTGGCACTGATAGGCGGCACTGACTGGCACTGTTAGGCGGCACCGACAGGCACTGATAGGTGGCACTGATGCGCACTGGTAGGCAGCACTGAGACTGGCACTGATAGGTGGCACTGATTGGCAGCACTGATAGGTGGCACTGATTGGCATTGATGGGTGACACTGAAAGGCAGCTCAGATGGGCACTGATATGTGGCATTGATGTGCACTGGTAGGCACTGATATGTGGCATTGATGTGGCACTGATGGGCACTGGCACGAGGCACTGATGAGCACTGACACAAGGCACTGATGGACACTGACAGGTGGCACTGCTGGGGCTACACAGAACATCAGGGCACACTGATCATCAGTGCTCTGATGATCTGTGTACATGTCCCCTCACACAGCTGATCACATGACCGAGCCAACATCTTCGGCTCTTTCTGTGATCGGTGATCCGCTGTGTTTGAGGGACACAGTGCACCGCCGATTGCAGCGCTGCGCGCTCCCTAAGCCGCGCATGCATGGTTAGAATGGGAGGACGTCATATGACGTACTCCCAGAACGAGAGAACCGCCTTGCATCCATCATATTACTATATGCCGGGAGGAAGGTGGTTAAAGTGTTACTAAACCCACAACAGTAAAATCAGTCTGTATATGCAGTAAAGCATGCATGTTACACTCACTGTGGAACCTAAGGGGTTAATCCTCTGCATTTTAGATTGTAAACTTTAACAAGCAGGGCCCTCTGAATCCTCCTGTTTTATTTGCATTGTAAATGTACTGTCTGCCCTTATGTTGTAAAGTGCTCCGTAAACTGTTGACGCTATATAAATCCTGAATAATAATAATAACAATAATAATAATACTAAATTGTGTAAAAAAGCTGTTTGATCCTGTTTTCTCTGATCCTCCCCTTCTTCCAATGTCCCCTCTTATCTCCTGATAAGACATATGTGTGAAGACACTGCACATGTTCAGTTTGGTGTGTAATGCTAGAGAGTTTTTTTTTCCTTGGGAGGGTGCATGTGATCAGCACAGGGCCAAAGAACACTGTCCAGACAGAGGTCAGGGATTCTGCATCCTCCTAGAGCAGAATGAAAACTCCTCCCACAAACTTTAACCATTGCTCTGCTGGACACTGATAGAAGTCATAAGACTGCTCTAACTGCCGATGAGAAAAGGTATTTATCAGTTTATATTTACTAAAATAATTGCATTTCCATGTTGTGTGTACTGTGGGAGATCAGATATAGTGAATGCAGGGTCCTGGGATTAGTAACACTTTAACTTTTACAAGAAAAGTTTTGCATTCCATTTCAGTAGCCTACATCTTGGGATCTGCAAATAATTTTGACATGTGCTGAAGGGATCCGTTGCTTATGTATTTTTTAAATAAATGCTGAGCCTGAATTGGCCCAGTAAAGACAGATTCACTTCAAAAGTATTAAAGTGAATCTAAAGTGAAAAAGTGAAGATTTGCCATGTTATAGGGAACATTAAGAAAAGTTAGTCATGGATATATTAAATTGTAAATCGCTGCGCAAACTGTTGGCGCTATATAAATCTTGTATATTAATAATAATAATCATAATAATATAGAATCAGCTTCAGGGAGACCCCAGGCAATGCTAGTAACTAGTGATGGGCTGAACCCCCCTGTTCAGTTTGTGGTCGAACATTCGAACCTACCGAAAGTTCAACCGCGAACTTCGAACAGGTTCAATTTACTGTGCGGTATCTTACCATATCTGAGTATGCGGTAAGATACGACTCAGTTACTAAAATACCACATGGGTTATATTATTAGGTGATGCAGTATTTTAGTAGTGAAACATTCATTCATGTTTCAGCTGTCAGCGGGGTTCCCTGCTGACAGCTGAATGTCACAAGAAATGTCGGCGTTGCCCGACAATTACATTTTTTTTGTAAATGGCATAGGGTCCCTCCTCCCATCTATACCAAGCCCTTTGGGTCCAGTATGGCTTTTAAGGGGAACCCCCCACATCACATGACACTTTCTAATGAAGCTATCAATGCAATGAACACTACTTACCACAAGCAACCTTAGCATCGGGATCTTGCCGTAGATGAGCGTCTAGAACAGCATCACTTATCTGATCACAGATCTTGTCTGCAGAAAGAAAATGTGATATGGAGAATACAACGAGAGCAATTTGTCAATCAAAATGACCAGTTAATAACTCTGAAGCAATATAGTCGCCTCTTGAGAGTTACAAAGTGAACTTATCACCAGGTGAGTATATCTACACAGTGACATGTTTTATATGGAAATCAATAATTTTTGGTGAAGGTCTAGCCTATTTGCTTTGATCGAATATTTAATCTGAAAATAGTAATGGAAAAGTAATAATAATATGACATGCTGTGGTGTTGTGTTGACATGTCGATGTTAAAGCACAGATGGCTTTCTATTGGTACAAAATAAATACTCCTAGGTTGCTGGGGTGAGCAGCCAACAGATTTCGTGTCCTGTCAATTATCCAGGATTGGACAATACAAACAGTATGGGAGCTTTTCAGACAGGCTTCAGGGATGATGTGAATGACCTATAGGTATGCCAGCTAGTTTGGGCATGTTACAAAACTTACTAACAGAAGCATTTCTTTTTCAGTAGGGTCCCATATGTGCACCACTGTATTTGTGCTGCAAGTGCGCTCCCAGGTCAAGGACTGAGCTCTCACCAAGAACCCCAGATCTCATACTAATGATCAGGAACCGGGTGTCCCAGTTACAGATCATCTGATCGCTGTGATAGTCTGATGGGCTATCACACTGATCACAGAGTGTTTTCTTCTCTTGAATGAAGATCTACTTTAATTATAGTTACATAGTTAGTCTGGCTGAAAAAAGACAAAAATCCATCCATTTCAACCATAAAAAAAAAAAAGTTATAATCCTATACCCACAGTTGATCCAGAGGAAGGCAAAATCCCCAGCAAAGCATGATCCAATTTGCTCCTGCAGGGAATAAAATTCCTTCCTCATCCCCCGAGAGACAATCGGATATTCCCTGGATCAACTTTACCTATAAATGTTAGTATCCAGTTATATTCTGTGTATCTAAGAAAGAATCCAGGCCTTTTTTAAAGCAATTCACTGAGCTGGCCAGAAATTCTTGAGGGAGTCTATTCCACATTTTCACAGCTCTCACTGTGAAGAAACCTTTCCGGTTTGGAGATTACATTTCTTTCCTCCAGACGTAAAGAATGCCCACTTGTCCTCTGTGATGACCTCAGGGTGAATAGCTGTACACCGAGTTCACTATATGAACCACTGATGCATTTTGATCATATCCCCTCTTAATTTCTTCTTCTCAAGAGAGAATAAACTCAGTTCCTCTAATCTTTCCTCATAGCTGATCTCCTCCATGCCTCGTATCAGTTTGGTTGCCCTTCTCTGTACTCTCTCCAGTTCCCCAGTGTTCTTTTTGTGAATTGGTGCCCAAAACTGAACTGCATATTCCAGATGAGGTGTTACTAATGATTTGTACAGGGGTAATATGATATCTCTCTCTCTGGAGTCTATACCTCTTTTAATACAAGAGAGGATTTTGCTCGCTTTAGAAACTGCAGCATGGCATTGCATGCCATTATTAAGCTTGTGATCAGAACACCCAGATCCTTCTCTACCATTGATTGTGGGGTTGTATGTTTTCCTCTGTACAAGCTGAAGAATAAAATTTGATCAACCTGTGAAACTACGCAACTAACTATGGAATACACATCTACAAAAAGTTCATTCAACAGGCTTTAACTTTTTCCCTTTTTGTGAACCAGCATAGCATTATCTTCAAGCAGCAAGCGTCTATGATACTTGAATATTATTAGTGTGAGAAGAAAATCCATGTGAATATGTGATAACTGGGAAAAAGACACACATAAGTGTTATTTCCCTTTAAGAGCATTCGTCAGAAAGTAAGGTGTATTTTTTTTACATTTCAGTGGCAAGTTTAATTTTTATCAAAGGAACTCATGTATAATTTCACTATGTGAAGTTTATCATAACAGGGCATGATAACCTTGTTTTCATAACAAGTGCCTATTGTAACTCAGTAGAACTGATGAAGTCTGATGCAATATAAAGCTTGTGTAATTCTGTTCTTTTCTCTGTCGATGATGTTTATACTGTGTTTAATGACATTTCAAGATGCCCACAAATGAAAGAATTACAATGGTAAGTATTCTGAGCTGACAGCAAGACTATCTGCAATAGAATATATTATTTGTACTACGAATTCTAACAATGTTGAAAACTATCAATATAATTCAATTTACCAACCCAGAATACAATTTAATGATACTAAAGATTTCTAAACATTCATCTGAGAAATGGAAAGTCAATGGAGTATGACCATATAAGTCTGATAAATTCAGAATCCCAAAGTCAGGGAACAACTTGATTGGAGAATCGTACTGAAAATTTGATTTGCTGGAAATGAACATCTGTCTTGCAATTATGAATTTTTACATTTTAGGCCCCTTTCACACGGAAGTTCTGATTGGGTCTGCCTGTCCGTTTTTCAGGTGGACCTGATCAGACCATCCATTCTCCTCTATGGAGAGGCGGATGAAAACGGACACGAGTCCATTACACCTGCCTGCATCCAATCTGCTAAAAACAGACAGATGGGGGATCCATTCCCCATCCACCTAACGGAACTGATCAGTTTACAGTTGCATGTAAACAGGCGGTCCATTTACATCTGACCTCCCATAGAGGACAGTGGGCTCTATCCGTGTCTGCTCTGCATAAGTGGAGCAGACACAAACCTGTCATCTGCCTGCTCCGCGGTGATCAGTGGACAGATCCCCGCAGCCAAAGTCTGCCCCTTGTGAAAGGGGCCTAATAGTAGCAAGTGCTTGCAGAGGCCTCTTTTATTTCTATTTCACATCATTCTTCTCCCTCCCTGGACATTGAATGCCCCTTGAAAAATGTGAGGAATGGGGATGCTAAAAAACTGAGAGAAATTAATTAATTCATTTGTGTTAATTGAGCCACTATCAGATTTTGTTTTCATTTACTCAGATTGCTCTTGGAGGACTTTTCAGGGGATATGAACAATTCATCTGGATGTGGAAACAATATATATAGTATAATTTTTATTTTTTTGGGTAGTAGAGAACAGCAGCATCCAGAGTAGATAGCAATGGGCACAGCAGTAGCAATGATGGACACAAAATAATTGTTACAAATCAATGTGCATATATACTTTTCCTTTAACGTGACATTGACTCTGTACCAAAATGTTTCCACAAGGCTTACCTGTAAAAAGATGAATGTAAATACTCATCTTTCATGCTGCCTGTGCTGCTGAACATTGCTCTGATCCTGAGAAATGATCCCCCAAAATCTGTTGGGAAACAACACTTCCAAAAGTGTAGATCTCTGTGGCCCCCTGCTGCTCTTCTCCTGATGACCTACTTGTCACTGCTGTATCATGTGTTGAGTGGAGGTCAGAGGAAGGTACCAATGAGAGCTGCGGAGACCACTCCTGGAAGTGTTTGTTCACCAGAATACTTCAGGGGATTCATTGCCAGGAAGCAGTGTAGCGGGCCAGAAGTAAGGTCATATTTTTACAAGTATGACCTTGTTGGGATGTTTTGAATTGGGGACAGGGTTGCTTTAAGCAAAGTCACTAGTGGCAGTCAACAGTAATAGAAAAGCCCATCACAGAAGCCAAAATCTTATGGTCAATAATTGAAACAGGAAGGTGTATACCTTTGTAAGGATGTTTTGATATAGCAACATAGTTGCTTTAAGCAAATGGAACAGCAACCACTGGTGGCAATCAGCAGAGATGGATAGACCTGTAATGGATCACATAAGGAAAAAATCTTTATGGCCAGTAGTTGTAGAAGAAAGGATTAGAACCCTTCTCTGCTGTATTAGGATCCTTCGTAATATGATGTGGTTCATCCAAACTGACTGCCAATTTATCTAAAAATTTGCCATTACCCTTACCAACCCTAGACCTCAGAGATGCCTCATAACATGCAGAAGTTGCTGTAGCAACTGGCATTCCATATAAATCACAAGATGCAGCGCTATAAACTAAAACATATATATGCATGAATCAAAGAATCAGTCATAAATGACTGAACAGTTAAAAGTTCATATAATAGGTGACTTTAGTGCTCTCTTCTACTTCATATCCTCCTGGTGGTCAGGCGTTTGTGCAAAATAGTGCTAAAGAAGTGCACACTCACCAGAACGCACAAGTATATGAGCGTTTAATATAGATTCCCCTTTAGGATCATCAACTGGACACGATGTGATATTAAGACCACCTCCTTCCAGAGCTCCTAGATGTTCCTGTATAATCCCTTGTTAGGTGATCCGCGGACTTCTCCTTAGGATCGGTATACGATTCGTACCCCGCAAAGAGATGGGTGACTAAAGCCGTGCGACGTCCATTTATATGCTAGGCGCATGCGCATTGGAAAGGCGCCATTATTTTGGAGTCTAACCACGGACAACCGGATCTTCATACCGGCGCCATTTTCCATTAGTTTTACGTGCTAATATCACCGCAATATGTATACTCGGCTGGTTGTCATTCCCAAACATCTCACTATGATCCTATAGTATCTTCTAATCGATGTTTCCGACCTACAAGCCGATTAATATACAATTTGCTCTATGTGATAATAAGGTAAGTATATTTCCAATTAGCCTAGCATATAAATGGACGTCGCACGGCTCGGCGTTCAGTGGCATATCCCCCCAGACGACGTGCGTGTGCACGAAACGCGTAGGAGGAGCCAGGAACGCCGTGACGTCATACCGCCGGAGCATCGTGGAGCTCCGGCGGTCATCTTTATCACTGGACGTACCCATTTTAGTCACCCATCTCTTTGCGGGGTACGAATCGTATACCGATCCTAAGGAAAAGTCCGCGGATCACCTAACAAGGGATTATACAGGAACATCTAGGAGCTCTGGAAGGAGGTGGTCTTAATATCACATCGTGTCCAGTTGATGATCCTAAAGGGGAATCTATATTAAACGCTCATATACTTGTGCGTTCTGGTGAGTGTGCACTTCTTTAGCACTATTTTGCACAAACGCCTGACCACCAGGAGGATATGAAGTAGAAGAGAGCACTAAAGTC